CACACAAAATTGGCGGTGTCACAGCACAGGGCGGTAGCTCCGAAAAAAATCGCAGGCGTGAATAAAGGTGTCTAGGTTAGGTGGCGCAAGCTGTCGCCTATTTAATGGATGAAGTAATTTGTCACTCGAGTATCTATGTATCAAATTAAAAAAAAAAAAACAGTTTCTAGGGGGCGAAACACACCGCCCAAATAAAACAAAGTTTTGTCATATTTATCTATTCATCGACGTCCTAACTTTTTTTCAGTCGCTTTTACATCCATCCAATCATACACTCTCGAAAGCTCGAAAAGGGCGCCCGTTGTCGGATAAACAAGGCACGTGAACGAGGCATCAAAACCGGCATGTCGCGTTCATCGGTACCGCCAGTACCGCCCCTTTAACCCCAGTTAAAGACAGAAACCCCTCATCGAAAGCGTCGCGGGACCGCCACCACAAGCCCACCATGGTCCTCCCACTCCAACGGCTGCCACCGGCGCCGACCGCCGTCAACCAGACCACGCTGCACCCGCAGCACGCCAGAGAAGCCCTCGAATCCGCCGTCAAAACGGTCGAAAGTGCCCTGCAATCGGACAGTTCCTACCCGCAGCTCGTCGAACTCTTCATGACGTACGGGTCGCTGCCGAGCGAGAGTGGTCTCCACGACCTCGACTACCCGGCGGACCCCCTGGGCGCCGCGGCCGCCGCGCCCGCGGCGCCCGTGCGAAGGATCCCGCTCCCCGCCGAACTCACCGAGCAACTGTCGCACATGCAAACGTGCTGTCAGATGGGCCTCTTTCCCGAGATCGGACGAGCCTGGCTGTCCGTCGACAGCGATTTGTTCGTCTGGAGGTACGAGACCGGTGAAGACCTCGCCTACTTCGACGGTCTCAGCGAGACGATCCTCAGCGCCGCGTTGGTGCGACCGCGACCCGGCGTCTTCAGAAGCCACATCCACTCGCTGCTGTGCCTCGCGACGCCGGTGGAAGTCGTGCTGCTCGGCGTTTCGTTGCAGGGCAAGGCCGGCGAGGAACTGACGCTCGTTCCCGAGCCCTTGTTTACGGTGTCGTCGGACGGTACGGCGATGGTGTGCATCGCCGGTTCGGCGACGGGTCGGATCTTCCTCGGAGGTCGCGACGGCTGCCTGTACGAAGTGAGCTACTCGGCCGGGGACGGCTGGTTCGGGAGGCGCTGTCGCAAGCTCAACCACTCGAGTTCGGCGCTGTCGTTCCTCGTGCCCGCCTTCCTGAGCTACCCATTTTTCTCCGAAGAGGATCCGCTCGTTCAGGTGGAGTTGCTGTCGTTTACCTACGAGTTAGATCTCAATTCCGTAGTCCCACCGACTGCACGACAGACACTTGACCCCGTCGAGTACACTCTCCGTCGTGCAATCGGTGTCACTAACGGCATTGGGATCGTTTCGTGCGTTTCCACAAACAACTGACATGTGGCCAGTAGGTAGACAGGCTGGGCATAGAACAGGCACGGTGACAACCAATTTTTCGAAGAACGTAAGGAGCCATCTTCATGTCTTAGATTGGCAGGCTACTGTTTCACTGACACACTTGGCCACAGAGAAGCCAGGCCTCGTAGAAAGGTCGGTTGTCAGCCCCCCTCAGACCTCTTGAAATGCCTTTAACAGCCTTTTTCCTTTAATTGTGTAGAGGCGGTGTTTCGCCTTTGCGGCCTCAACTGGGACAAGAGAGTCCGGGTCACTGCTTTACCAGGTGCCAAACTCCAAGCGATCCTGGAAGCAGCCGACGGCCCCTGCACCCAAACCAAGCAGGACACTCTGGTCATCATCCAGGGGGGTCTAGACAACATAATTCTTGGCGAGGAGCCAACAGAGGTTGCTGAGACGATGAGAAGCACACTTGTGCGATGGCTTGACCAGTCCAAATCGTGTCGGGTGTGCATCTGCTCTGTGCCCTTCACGAAGGCCAGGGGCCCAGAGGTGGCAGCAAACATCGCTGCTCTCAACAAGGCTCTCAAACAGGAGTGCAGCAATCTGGGGCAGCGAGTTACATTCATCAACTCATATTGGATGCTCCGAGATTTGCCATTTTGAGCGATGAATGGAGACCACTACACCCCGGAGGCAGCCCAGGCATTCGGGCAATCACTGGCTCAGCGGGTGGCTGTTTTTTTAGGGGACAGGCCTCAGGTGATGTGGAGGAACATGACCCATGGGCCATACATGCAGCCACATGGGAACCAGGAGCAAGCTCTGCAACTAGTCCAAACGCTTCGCCAGCTGTTCCAACAACAACCGGTGGGCCCACCCAAGTCCCGATCTCGGACGTTTTATTAGGGTCACCAGACTACAATGCACGGACCAACAGACGTAAAAGGTCGCACAAGAAGGGTAGAAGAAAACAGAAACAATACAGAAGCAAAACCCATAAAAGCCATGCGAGCGCGAAGTTAATAAATATTGGATTGCTCAACTTACAAGGAGGAAGCCGATTGAAATGGGAGGAGTTACAGAAAAATGCAGATTTGGAAGATATTAGTATATACGGAAACGCATCTGCGGAATGATGAAGAACCCCCACTATCCAAAGACTGGAGTTGGATTGGCTCAAATAGAACAGCAAGCCAAAAGAAAGGAGGCGGTGTGGGATTCATGTATAAGGAAGGCCTAAAACTTAAGCGAATAGGCAACAACTGTACAGAACATATGTGGGCGATATTCGAAGGTATGGGAATGGGCCACATCGGGCTTGGTATTGTGTACATGGCCACAGCAGGGACAGAAGAATCTTGGAATGAAAGAATATATAAGTGTCTGGAGAAAGATCTTGAAGAGAGCAACATCACGCACCCAATTATACTGATGGGAGATTTTAACTGCCATCTGGCGGAGTTAAGTAGTAAAGATGAAAGAGCTCACAATCTCAGAAAACTTGTAGAGCACAACAATTTGCGAATAGTAAATCTGGAGGAAGGCTGTCAGGGGCAGATAACATGGAGCAGAGGAAACCAACAATCAACCATCGACTACATTCTCGCCTCCCAAGATTTATTCTGTGCACCATGGCACCTGAAAAACATGACAGTGGACGAGGAAAAAGTGTTCAGCTGCGGAAGTGACCATAATCGGATAAAAATAACGATTGACCAGGCCTACAACAAGTTCATACACAGCTCGAGGAAACTTAAACTCCACAGGAGGACAAGCTACTGGAGAACTAGTGACGAAGGTAGAATGGCGGCATGGGGTAATGCCTTGGATGCTGAGTTTGCAAGAAGCCCCCCATCAACCTACAGCGAGTTCTACGAGTCTCTATTGCAACTAGCATATACTCATGTAGGAAAACAAACCAGAGTCAAAAGTGATAAACGAACACCGTGGTTTGATAAGGAGGTTAAGGAGGAAATCAAAGTATGACAGGAATGGTCCAGAAAACATCGAAAGCCCATGAATAAAAAGCAATACAGCATGGCAAAGCAAAACTGGGACAATTACGAGCTACAGAAAAATAAAGTAAAATCTCTATTGGCGACAAAAATTCTGAAGATACACACGAAACATGAACAAGCCCTACAAGAAAGCGACAACAAAAGCCGTTGCTTTTGGAGATATGTGCGATCTCTCCAACCACACAAGACGATAGGGAGTGGAGAAGACCAATGGACCACTGAAGAAGAAATCACCGAGGGAATGACTAAATACCTTCAGGGACTTCAAGCCTCCCTCTACAACAGACCGAGGACACAGGAGGAAACATCCCTACGACCTCAGGAACAATTTGACCGCAGCATTCTTGAACCAATAGCGCCCGGTGAACTGCAGAGACATATTAATAAACTAGAAGCAGGAAAGGCAGTAGGTCCAGACGACATCCCCAACGAGTTCCTGAAAAAGCTTAAACCGGTAGCACAGAAGCACCTAAGGTACCTTCTAAACAACATGCTGGCAAAAAGTGCTATTCCTGAAGCCTGGAAACAAGCCAAAATAAAACTAATCTACAAAGGAAAAGATAAAGACAAGAAATCATTAGACTCATACAGGCCGATAACAATACTAAGTAATGTTTACAAACTCTTTGCATCAATTCTGCAAGACAGACTGCAGAGACTCTGTGAGAAAGCCCGCCTTTTCAGCGAGGCACAGAATGGATTCCGTAGGAACCGGCGGGGCAGCGACAACTTATTCACTGTCACACAACTAATAGAGCTAAAAAATCTAGATAGGTCACCACTCTATCTGGCTTACCTTGACTTGGAAAAGCCCTATGATGCAGTGCCCCATGAGAAGATGTGGACGAAGTTAGAAGCGATGGCACTGGATGTTCAGACAGTATCGCTCTTCAGAAACATGTACGCCGGATGCAACGCCAGATACAGTTTGGGAGAACATTTATCAGGGCAGGTGAACATGATTGTGGGTCTGCACCAAGGCTGCCCCCTTCTCCAACTCTGTTCCAACATCTACATCAACAATCTCATTCTGGAGCTGCAAGCCAAAGGGCAGGGTATTTCTTTCACAACCATTACCTTCAGTAATGACATGGAAACAACTTATATTCCAGTACTGGCCTTTGCTGATGATATACTCCTGTTATCAGAGAATGAAACTCATCTTCAAGACATGCTCGATATCTGCACTCGAATTGGGAATGAAGAGGGATTCAAATTCAGTAAGGAAAAATCAAAGTGGATGGGCTATAATGTTCACGAGCTTAACCACACGTTTAGAGTACAGGAAGTGGAAGTAGAACATACCAAGGAATACAGGTATCTGGGAGTGACTCTTAAGAAGGCCCGCTGTACTTAGAACTACACGAGAGGAACACCCTAAAAACCTCCAACATCCGAAAAGGTCACCTGTGGAACATGGCAAAGTATTCCTATAACCCATACACCCTTGCGAGGGCACTGTGGAAGAGTGTCGCAGTACCGGCGGTCACCTATGCCAACGACGCAGTGGTCTTCCAACAGACCACCCTGAAGACACTGGATCGCCATCAAGTGGAAATCGGAAGGTGGGCACTGGGCGGAAACGGGGCAACTGCAAACCTGGCCGTCACGGGAGAGATGGCCTGGTCGACTTTCAAGCAACGGGATGCAAGGGCCAAGCTCGGATACCTCGGGCGCCTGATTCACATGCCAGACGAAGCGTACGCCAAAAGGACATTCCACTACGTTAGATACCGCAGCAGCAGGACGAACTGGTCAAACACCATCGCCAGGCTCGACTCTGTGTACAGCAAAGGGACAAGGCGACATGAGGCCACATCGGAGAAAGGATGGCTCAAGGCCGTGACAGAGGAGGTGAACGCGATTGAACTTGAGGCCTGGAGACAAGCGGTGAGGAAAAAGCAGAGCCTCCAGAGCATCTACGCGCTCCACAAGCCTGAGCCGTCTCCCTGCACACACTGTCAAGGGGACCATGAAAGTGCGCTACTGTTCCAGGCACGGGTAGGAGCGCTGATGACAGGCTGCCGACGTGCCCAACTCTTCGGAGACACCGACACAGCCTGTCATCTGTGCGGGCAGTCAAGCGAGGACGTCCTCCACGTGCTGCTGTGGTGCCCTGCCCTAGACCACTGTCGACCGCCCTGGGCGACCAGCGAAGAGAGGATTCCCGAAATGCTGGGATTCGGGGAAGGAGCCCATGGTTCACTAGCCACCAAGCGCATTCTCGTTGAATGGGAGAGACTACGTCTGATCGCCAACCAGTGAAAGTGTGCCAAAAGTGGGAAAAGCTAAAACAAAACAAGAATCTAAAACTTTTACCTTTGTCGGCAATTTGAACTTTTGCTGACCCCCCTGTCTCAAAAGGGGTTAGGTACCGCCAACTAACTAAGCTTGTGATTTTCTTCTTTTTTTTTTCATTTCTTTTCGCGCATTGTTCTTGCACTGTTGGCTTAAAAATCTTTCTACAATGTCATGAACAACCATACCTCATAGATAGTATGTACAGTTGGAAACAAAAGTCCCCAGGACGCTCGAGCTGCGACTGAAACGCATCGCTCTGCCATCTGTCGGCGGGTTGCCTGGTTTTGAGATCACACAAAAGCGCATGCGTGTCCTACTGTTCTTGCAAACATGTGTGTTTTCCCGCTTTTCTGCGTCGCGGCGCCTAACTCGGAATCGGGCGCGTGGTACCGCTTCGGAGATAGCGCTTACTGACATGGCACCTATGAAGCAAGGAGTCACGGTTGCTCAGCTGAGCGATAAGCTCAGCTGGTTATAAAGCAAGATGCGCTGACACGGCAAAATGCGGCGCAATGCCGCAGGCGGTATTTCCAGCTTCGCAATGTGTAGCAGAAGCTCGTCAGCCGCAAGCGCTATCTCCGAGGCGGTACCAGGCGCCCGATTCCGAGTTAGGCGCCGCGCCACAGAAAAGCGAAAAACACACATGCTTGCAGGCACAGTAGGACGCGCATGCGCTTGTGTGTGATCTCGAAACCAGGCGACCCGCCGACAGATGGCAGAGAAATGCGTTTCAGTCGCAGCTCGCGCTTCCTGGGGACTTTTGTCCCCAACTGTACTTTTGATCTTGCACGTACTGCAAAATTTTCGCTCTAGTGAAATTCAGTTCCAGAGCCACCTCATAGACGGCGCCGCTGCTCTCTCTTATCGTTCGATGGACGATGAGAGATTCGTGAGGACGAGACGGCTGAGCACTTGATACTCTACTGTAAAGGGCTTCACCCTATGCCTACCGAAGACAACATAGATTTAATAAAGTCATTGGGTTTTAGAGACAGCGAAGGGAGAGTGGATATCAAGACTGTAGAGATTACCACGCAATGATTAAGTGAATGGTGGCAGAAAGCGAGAGAAAACTAGGTATTCTCTTATTAACTGATGACAAGGGGGTTTTTATAGCCTCACTTTTTTTGCAGTGCGGAGTAAATATAGATTTCACATTTAAATATTCTAAGCTTAAATGGTCAAACAAAATGGCTAGGTGGAGTAAGCTACCGCCCGATCCAAAGGGCTCAGCCGGATTCATCCATCCATCCATCCATCGTAGATATTACAAGAAGTTGTAATGCACTTGGTCGTAAGCAGCCACAAGTGTATGAACCGCAGCCCCCCCCCCCCCCCCCCCCCCCCCAAAAAAAATTGTTTGTAATGTCAGTCGTCGTATTGAGGAGACAAAAATGCTTGTATATACCCAGTTTGTCCCTGAAAATTTTGTTTGTATTAACGGGGTCTGTGTTCAACGATACACGACTGAACAAGAAACACGAGAACTGGCTTTGGACCTTTTTGGGAAATCCCGTAAGGCCTCTTGTCAATCCCATGTCGCTCCACACGGCATGGGCAATTTGGGACCCTTCTGACGCATGCTCAAGCCATACATCCTGAGTGTGGCACAATTCCTTCTCTCTTGCCACTTTGGGTTTAGAACGCAAGGAAAACAGAGCAAACACATTACAAAGCCGATACATACCCTGTCTTGTTATCTTCCTGCTTTTTTTTTTGCAGTCTGAAATCTCAAAATGCTAAGCAAACACGAATGTCTCTTTCTATATATGGGTATTGCTTCATGCGCCATACATTGATTTGCCGTAGTTAATCGAAAAGACGATGGGAGACGCTGCGCATTTCCCGAATGGTCTATTGTATGTGGAACCTATGTTTTCAATCTCCTTCAAGCTAGAATCATACTTTACAACTTGTTCCTGACCAACCGCACACCTAGCAGTGCACCCGCCCCAAAAAAGACTGCTGACGAAAAAAAAAATATTGACAGCAGTCTTTGTGTTTTAGAGTTATGTATGCGCAAAACGTAGCATTTAAGGAGCCATTGGTAAAACGTGTTTAAAAAACATTAAACAATTGTTTCATGCAGTAAAGAAGGACCTATATTTTTACAAACTTCCCAGCTTAATTTAGCGTGGAGGCTGAATAGGTCACAACATCAATTTTCTCAGTAAACTTAGCAGAAAGAGCATTGACAGGCGGATAAAATTTGGGGATTGGGCGGTTCCGTTAAAAAGCCTTTTATGCTTTATTAACCTACCCACCGCCTAAGATCCCAAGACAGCTTGAGTGAAAATAACGGAAGACTAAAGGAAGGAGCACACAGACACGCTGTATTTCTTTACTCAAGCTATGCTAAACAACTAGCTTAACTTGACGCCTTGTTGCAATCCCAAAATAGGAGGCAAGTTAACCGTCGCCACGGCGCACATGCGCTTCTTCGTCGCAGGTGGTGGTGGACGACTCTCGACAGGTGCTGTACACGCGGTCGGAGCGTGGCTCGCTGCAGGTGTTCGACCTGGGCTGGCCGAGGGGTGACCAGACCAGCCGGGTCATCTCCGTGTCCCAGGCCACGCTGGTGCAGCTGGCGCAAGCAGCTGCACGCACGGTGGATGTGGCGAACTTCCGGCCGCTCGTCCACATCGAGGCGGTGACTATGATGGAGTCGCTCCACGTGCACCTCGTGGCAGTCACCCAGGCCGGTACGTCGTCCACAAGAGTCGGATGCCGGTTTAAGGATCGGGCCGTCGGAGCCATTAAAACTACCCATATCTCGTAACACCCAAGACTGGTAAAAAAAAATTCATGTTGGAGGACAAGACACAGGAGGAGAATGTATCAAATTCTGCTAACTCAATCATTTCTCTCTGTCCTTAAAGTGTGGCCACAGAGTCTGGTCACCAACCTTCACACACACGCACCCTTTGTTTAAGCGACAACCACATGGACTCTTAAAAGCAAGACCTTGTGACTAGTAGACTTGCGTCGCTTTAAATGGTTCGTTCTGTCGCTGCGTTAAAAAAGGCTGTGTCTGTGAGGAAGGTTCGTAGCAACAGCACCGGGTGTAAATAAAGAATGAGAGAGAAATGAACGAGTTAGCCGAGTTTGAAACTTTCTTTTTTCGTGTCTTTTTCTTTGACTTGAGAAAGTTTATTTTTACTCGTCACAGTGTTGGCTGAGGCACAATATGATTGACTATTGCCGGCTTGCCCACACACTCGCTGTCTTTTAGAGCACAGCTCTTAGGGAAGGGGCCCGTTTCCGGCTTGAGCGGCGTCGCCGTCGGCATAACTATAAGTTCGCGTGACCCCCCCCCCCCCCCCCCCCCAAGGTCATGTGACCCCCGTGAGGTCACTTGGCCCCCCTAAGGTCACGTGACCCCCGTGAGGTCACTTGGCCCCCCTAAGGTCACGTGACCCCCCCCTGAGGCCACATGACCCCCCCCCCCCCCCCTTTCCGAGGTCACCTGACCCCCCAGGTCACTTGACCCCTCAGGTCACTTGACCCCCCTCCCCCGATGTCATGTGACCCCCCTGACGTCACACGACCCCCCCTGAGGTCACGTGACCTCAAGGAGTCACCTATCCCTCACTACACTTCCATCCTCCCCCTCAAGAGCTGCGCTCTAATCCGGCGTTACAGGGAGTTGTAGACGGCTTTCATTTTTTTATAAAAACCATAATATTTTTCGGCATACGAGCTACAGTTTTCTTTCCCAAATTTTTTATTTGTGTGTTTTATACAATAAAATAACTCGTTTACATTTTTTTTTAGATTTTAAATCAATAGTTTTTACATGGGAACCTTCCACAGTTTTGTCGTCGCATTGGTTATGCCGTTGCACGCAAGGCCACGGGAGAGAGCGTGGGCAACTGAGTGCATTTTCATTTCTGACGCTCTTTCATGGTTTACCGCACTCCCATGGTTTACCGCACTCCTTCCTCCGTGGTTGGACGTTGAACCGCGCACGACCAATGTTGTAGCGCCGCGCCAATAGGAATGTCATGGGGCAGAGGGTGGGGGGGGGTAGTAGGAACTGCGTGTTATCTAAACCTACTGACATGATGAGAACGGAAGATATTCTGTAGTCTCTTTCGGATGCCCATACTCCTGCACTCGCTCGTTGCCTCCCGTTGTCGATTATGGAAGGTAGGAAGCTTGCGCCGGAGGCGGGACACTTGAAAGACCGCCCGCCGCTCTCGTCCCATCGGTGGCCACGGTCCAGAAAGTCTGGCCATCGGATCCGTGCGAGCTACCATTAAAAGATTGTCCCTTTCCTGCACCTTCATGGCAAAGGCTGCGGTGATACAGAACCTATTGTTGCGCGTTGCTTCGTGGTGACGCCGCACAGGCAAACTCTGGGCGCATTTCGGTCGTCGTCAGCATCGACGTCGCGTGCAGCGTCGTTCAAAGGAAGCGCCGCGAGAAGCTAGCACTCCAGAGGAAGCAAAGTGCAGAGTTCCCATATTTTCCGATCACACGCTGCCGATTTCACCCGGCTGTTTCGCATATCCTCGTTTCCTCCGAAGCACGTGCTTGTTCTCTTTGTCTCCTTCACATTTTCCTACCGTAGGGACGGGTGCCTTTTGCCCAGCATCTCCGAGACAAGAAGGCTGTAGTGCAGGATTTCTTTGCACCTACCCCACGCTGGTTTCTAACAAATGGCCGGCGTGGGGTACAGAGTTAACATGACCGCTGTGTCAGCGTTCGGCCGAAGGTGACTTTCGGTTGGCGAGGATTCAACCTCTAGCCAAATGGCGATGCGTCGCTCACATGACACTCTTCCGTGGCTAGAGTGCGTCATCAGAAACTGCTGGGAGCTGTTTTTAATGCGTTAGAAGTAGCGCAGTTAAAGTTATGTTTTTACAGATCAATGGAGTTACATTTACGAGTTCTCACAAAGGGTGAGCTAGGTTACAGCTACCATTTTATCCGGTCTATAATTCATACCTTTGTATAATTCTGACCTCCGTGTGAACGGCCATCTTCAGAAAGAAGTTGGTGCATAAAGGCCCGTTCACACTCTTGCAACCGAGCACAACCGAGAGGGACGAGATCTGTTAGAACTTGTTAAAATTTCTTAGGCCGAGAGAACACACTGGCACTCTGGCGCCATCTATGCAGTGACCCTGCAACTGCATTTCACAAGAGCGAAGGTTTTGCGGGCTTTCCGAGGACAACTGTGCGTAGTACCTATAAGAAAGGCTCGTTTATAACGTTGACCAAAGTTTTTCAAGCCAAGAAAGAAAGGATAATGCGCGAGAGTAGTCGAAAATATGTTGGACCGCCAAGTTTACCGTGCTGCCCAATAGACGGTGCCAGTGCGCCCTCTAGTTGTAAGAAGTTTCAAGTCACCATATTCTAAGAGGTCGCAAGTGTGAACGGGCCTTAAATCGCACCTATCGTCATGTACGAGTTAAAGGCCCGTTCACACAGTTGTGCTTTTTTTCGGACCGGGTGCCTTAAGACCTCTTGAGATCTCTTAGGACGCAAGGTCAAGCTGGCACCATATATGAGGGGCGCCTAGAGCTTGCGGTATTTGCGAGATCAGATGTACGTACTATCTATGGGAAATGGTCATTCATATCATTCGCAAAAGTTTTTCGAGCCAAGAAGGAGAGAATGATGCGCGACATTATAGAAAATATGCAGACAGTGAATGCATACCTGCCAACTCTTCCAAATTTTTTGCAAAATGTATGAATTGGGACAAATTTTATGATTTTACAATTCCTGCTTCAAATTTTACAAAAAAAAAATTATTACTTTTTTAACATTTTTTTTTACATTTTTTATTCTTTCGTAAAATTTCTGACAGCGGTGCCTTGCACCACCACAAGAGGGCGATAGGTACTAACCGCAGCAGCATCGTGGTTTTTACTATTCGTCTATCCGGTGGCCACAGATCCAAAACCAGTCCAAAGCCCCAAAGCCTTTGTTCATGTGTTCGGCGGCGCACATTGGTTTGGCGTGTTGGGCCTCGCAGTTTCCCTAGTCGTGGTGGCTTCCCGGCACAATGGCGAACTCCAAACCTCAAAAGAGGTACTTTCAGGTGTTCCGGAAATCCTACACTTTGGAATTCCCGTGCTTCGTGCCGTCCAAGATGGAGAGAAGTTTGTATCCTGTCGCACGTGCACATGTGATGTAAGCGTTTTGCACGATGGCAAGGCTGACATTAAGCTGCACATCGCTTCGCGTAAACACCAGAGATAAGTGCCTGCCTCTTACTACTTCCCCCCCCCCGCGGCCGCGGGAGTTTCACGAGTTTGAAAGTTCACAGGCTGGCAGGTATGCTGAACGTGTTCCCCAGCTACCCCACAGTGAGGGCATTGTACTCCCTCAAAGAATGAATTTTATGACGTTTTGAGGCATACAGTTCTAGGGAGTCGCAAGTGGGAAAGGGCTTTAAGAGCAGCCCAGTCAACGCCCTACCTATAGCACACTCTCGTTGCCCTCTGGCGGGATTTATCTGCACGAGCGACGAAGTGTTATCAGAGGCAGAAAGCTTGTGCTGGGGGCGGAACACCTACCCAATTATTAACCTGTTGCCAATGGGCAGGAACGTTTTCAATGCGCGACGATCATTGCATTTGCGCTTCTCTCCCCCAGGGGTCCGACTCTACTTCACCACCTCGTCGTCGCAGAGCCCCGAGGCGCGGCCCTCCACCCTTGCCCTGGTGCACGTCCGTCTGCCGCCAGGGTTCTCGTCGCACGCCCCCCTGCAGCGCCTGAGCCCCGTGCGCGCCGCACTCTGCCGCCGCGGCACCGCTGTCTTTGTCGCGGGTCACTCGGACGACCGTGACGTGCTCTGGACGCTCTCCGGCGACGCCTTCCCCTTCCAGCCGCGCCTTATGGAGACCTCGACTCTGATGCCCCTGGATGGCACCACCTGCTGCCTTGCGGAGGCCACGTCGGACGCCGCTCCGAAACCGCTCTGCGCCGTCAACATCCAGGGCAGCGGTGTCGCTCCGTCGGAGCCTCCCGTTGTCGTGACGCAGCACGCGGAGCGCCCGCGCAAGTTCGTGCTCCTCTCTTCCTCTGGCTGCAGCGTCGTCGAGAAGCCACGTCCTGTTGACCTCCTCCGTGGACTTCTCCGCGAAGGGGCCAACACCGAAGCAGTGCGCTCGTTCTTCACACTCCACGGCGAGGCCCAGGCGAGCGCCACGTGCCTCATCCTCGCGTGCGGACCAGGCGACACGGCGATCGCAGAGCGCGCAACACAGGCGCTGTTTCTTCACGGCGGAGAGCCAAAAGCGTCTTGCGTCGAACAGCAGCAGCCGGCCGGCCAGCCTCTTCAGCTGCAGCAGCAGCAGCCATTGCACCAAACGAGTGCGTTTGGCGGCTTCGGCGGCTCGCAGATCTGGGCAAGCACGCCTTACCCGACGGCACACGTGCCGCAGGGTCCGCCGCGGGGCTTCTCGCCGCTGAGCCCCGTTGGACTGCCGCCGAACATGAACATGTCGCAGCAGCTGGCGTGGCGGCAGGCACAGCCGCCGCCGGGCGGATCGCCCGCGCCAGCCGTCGCACCAGTTGCAGACGTAGTATTCTCGGGGCGCCACGACGGATGCTACCTTTACTTCTCGCGCCTCGTCCGCCCGCTCTGGTCCCTAAATCTTGTGACGACCGCCGCAAACCAGCCGGACGTGCTGATGAGCTCCGTCTGCGGAGAAGACCTCTTCAACTACCTCGGCGCCCTCAATGGCTTGAAGACATTCCTCGAGCGCACGACTGACTTAGCTGGCGCACATGTCGCTGACAACCGGAACGCGATGCTCGGTGGCGCTGCGGCCCGCAGTGCACTCTCAGCAGAAGGCGCGCAGCTCGCGGAACAAGCGCGGAAGAAGGCGCAGTTCGAGGCCGCATCACGCGAACGTGCCTCCTTGGCGCATCTCGCCCGCCTCGTTTCCCACACCGTCGAAGTCCTCGGCCTGTGGAAGGTCCTTTGCGACCACCAATTCCGCACGGTGTCTTCGACACTCCCGCCGGAGCTCCGCGACCAGCTCCGCGGCGCAACGCTGCGGGAACTGCTCCTCTCGGACCGCCAGCTGACCTCCGCGCTCGCCGGGTCGCTGGTGCGCAGCTACCTGGATGACAACGCCACGACAGAGGCGGTGTCCAACCGGCTGCGCGACGTCTGCCCGTCCCTGTACCGCTCCGAGGACGCGCTCTTCACCAGGGCCCAGGAGATCCTCCTGGCCGCGAGGACGGAGCGGAGTCCGGCGGACCGACAGCGGATGCTCTCGGAGGCGCTGGAGCTCTGCAAGAGAGTGGGGCCCCAGCTGCACCTTCCGACGGCATGCGGACTGCTCAAAGCGTGCGGCCACTATGCGGGCGCCGTGGACCTCTGCCTGTCGGTGGCCAAGCGCTGCGATCCGCAAGACCTGGCGTCGCACTTCTACCGGAGGGGTGAGCCAGCGGACGACGAGCGCGGCCGGCGGGTGTTTGCAGCGAGAGCGGAGTGCTACAGGGTGAGCTCACATTTGCATTCCTGTCTCATGCGGTGAACCACTGCAGTAGGTGCGAGATTGGGTATAGCTATGCTGAGCTATTAGTGCCAAGGTGTTTCTGAGGCACAGTCTTATGATTTTCCTAAGGGACCAAGATTGGCCGTGATGTCGTGAGCTGTGATTCTGGCTACTTATTATCAGCTGTGAAGGACAAGTTTGGTGGTGTGTTTAAAGAGCATGGTTGAAGCTTAGTAATTGCATTAAACCAACACCGTCAACGTTAACAGCCTGACATTACTCTTATTTCCGTGGATGAAAGCACAATTAAACCCTTCTAAGATGTCACAGTGAGCATTTGGCCAGTTGTGGAAAGCGAACCACAGCAACACTTTTGATCATGCACATCACTAATACTCTACCTTTAGAGTCAGAAACCTATCGCCCCCAGGTTGGATTAAACCTGCAAGGCAATATCATACAGCCTCCGGCACGCTTCCAGAAATGACCCCCTCCCCAAATGCACGCTTCAGGACAAGAAACATATTTAGCTGCTAACCTTGTATTATCGGACGTATTGACTTGAGGGATTTGCCAGAGTTCACTGATCAGCTGTCCCCAAACAGACAATAAGCTGGAAAATGCATTTGCAGCAAACGATTTCGTGAAGTTTTCCGCTGGCCTCCCGTAAACAGTTTTCAAATACACGCCATCTTGCCTTGCTCGAAGTGTTTTGCCTTAGCACGTGTACATTTGCAAACATACCCTTTCAAGATGAGGACCGTGAAGTCAAACATGGTTCTTGCGAATTACAGGCGAGCACCTCCAGAATATTTCACATCTCAAAGAGTTTTAATGTGAATATTCACACTTTGGCAAGCAGTATTGAACACCCAAAATCTTGATGAGAGTAAGATTTCGGCCCGAGTAACCTTATATTACGTGTGCCTGAATGAAAATACCATCTTTGCATATTACCTTGAGTATACAGTGTAGACTGCATATAATGTATGTCGCGGGAGTCGCGAAAATCGGCACTATAGGCGGTACCGTGCTATAACCAAAACATCAATTTTTCAGGCCAAAATACATGCCATGAGACAACTTAGCTTTGTAAATAAATTTATTTTTAGTGTTAGATGAAAAATAAAGCTTAGACTGAGGAAAGTCCTTATTTCACCAGACTAGTACTCTTCTCTCTCAAGTGTCACACATTTTGAAAGAAATGAGCGACTTTTGCCTGGCGCAGCCTTTTAATGGCGTCGCGGGTTGCGGACGGACGTTGCGAGCATTCAGGATTGCTAACCTTAATCACTTTTCTCTGGTGATGAAAACGCGTGAAAATTCGCATCCTTTATACGGTACGCGCCAGTAATATCTTCAACTTGAGCACACGCATGAAATGCTCCAAATAAGAAATCCGGGCGATGTTCAAAAACACAAATGCTTAGAAAGCACCACTGTAGTCCAAGTAAACAAACACGACGACACGGGCGTTTTTGCCGTCTTGAGAGTGCCGCCATGAGATCGCCGCACGAGTAGGTGGATCTTCCCTTCTAGTACGTGCTAAATTATCATAGTGACACACCACGAAAATTCACAGTCAAGGATAGCGCTTTTACGCGGAACGATGAGCATCCGCCACGCCGTTAAAGTGAACTAGAACGCCGTCTACGTCGACGAACACAACCGACGCTATATTTGTGGATAGAAGAAGCCGGCCCGCGACCAGCATGCAACGCGCGCAAACACTTCTCCTTGACCTGCGATTGGTCTGTCGTTGCGGTTGTTTCCAACGCAGCGGAGGGACGCATGCACATGAACGACACATGCGTGCGTCCCTCCGTCGCTATGGCCACTAAAGCCTCTCTCTTTGCTTCTTCGAGCAACCTCCTTGCCCCGCGAGTGCCGCTTGCGGCTAGCGCCGTTATCTAGTGTCGCACAGGGAAGCGTGCTCGCTGCGCCGGTTGGTCGGCGCGGTCGGCGGGCTGTTCCAGAAACCACATTATAACCGGTATTTCCCTTCGTGCGCCTGCATTTTAAGCGGTATGTAATTACATGGAGTTCTATGGGAGGCGAACCGGTGGTTGAAAAAAGCTGCGTTATACCCGGTCCTGCACTATAAGCGGTTACGTTGTAAGTGGTCTATACTGTATGACAGTTTTCTTTTATTTCTATAGGCTGATCACTCCCCTACCCCTCCCCTCTCCCATCTTTCGTTCCTCTGTCCAACCCACTTCCTTTCCACTTTGCGGTGATTTCCTACCTCATAAGTGTCTAGTGTGTGGACACGTGTGTGGACACAGGCCCATTCTCGTGAACCGAGCCAACACCAAGTAGGATAGTCGAAGGCTATGCGCTAGAACTTTGGTGTCATCATAGTGGGGTGGAGCGAAGACACAGATTGGGTATGAACGCTGCGTCAGCAGCCGGCTTGCGCCCAATCGACGCATCCAAAAACGCTCGAAACCAGGCTCTGGTCCAATGCCGAGTTGACGCCATCAAACTGCTATAACGTTTCGTGGTGGAAGAGGGATGTTTGCAGTCCATGATTAGTCTGGTGATGTTGGCCTAGCTCTGCAGAGGACTTTGTTCTATGCCAGAACTCCCATATGAGAGGCACTTCTCAAAGTGACCTGCACACACCTGGGGCTTTGCCTGCACTGCAGATGTTTAAGACGGAGAATCGGCTACGTACACGACAAAAAGCGTCGCCAAGGCCGGCATCTGCGATTGGTCAAACGCCCGTCTTTATTTAGGTCAATTTTGCTTTTGTCGGTGGAGATGAGAATGTCGTCGGACTGTCGACTTTGACGGCGTTGGTTTAAGAATGCGATGACTTTGAGCTCTCATCATGCTTTTTACACACATCAATGAACTTGTGCTGTAAAATACCGGGAGAGCACTCTCCCCATTTTTACTGAAAGCTAGTTTAATCTAGACCCCGGCGCTTGTCCGGCCAAATCGGGCGGTAAACATATAATTTGCAGAATTCCAAAGTTTGGGAAATGTTAATAGAAGGTTCTTTGGGGAACGAAGTGGGCGCTTTTGCAATATTCTTGGTTAGTTCGTAAATAATGTTAAGTAGCGAGAGTTACAACTCGAGACGTTGAGGTGAGGCAATTCCTGGTCACGACGTCACGAATGGAAATGATACGAGGGCGCCACCGAAACATCACGGAGCTGATAACAAATCGGTACAATACGGACTTGTTAAAATTTTGCGAAACTGGACAGGGTAGTGGATAAAGGAAAAGTTTGTTGTAAAAAAGTAGTGACAGTCTGAAAACTGGCGAAAATACTGTCACTTTAAGCTCAATTTTGAAGCAAACTAGGCTCCAGAAGGGACAGGAGACGTGTACTTTATAATACCGGGCAAGCGTCCACTCTGAATTGGGAGATAATCGTGGAGAACTGGGGGATGGGTGCTTGGTAGGTCCGAAATTGAAAATGCAGACGGTCGGGTGGGCCCTTGCTTTGTCCGACCACTGAATAAAGAATGGCTGACGTTTGCGGACCTAGTTGATTGCGCAGACACGTTAAAACAAAACATCAACATCATTTTTTTTTTTTTGGGGGGGGGGGGGGGGGGGGGGGGTTTTACAAAGAGGAAGTGTATATGGCAAATAGTTTATTAAGAAAAATTAAAAAGTGGTCGATGACGCATTGACTTGTCTTTGTCACTAAAGCCTTCAAATTACTCTTCCGAGTTAAAAAAAAAGAACAACCCATCTATCACAATCCACTTTTTTTTTCAACTCTGCACCCCTCATCCCCTTCTCCTGCTATGCCATTTCACCCGTTCTATCCCCATACTCTCCGCCAGCCGTGGAGATAACGGCTGCCCACAGCAACGAGGCGCTTGATGTCTTTTTCATGTATTTTTTTTAATTTGCTTAAAATAAGGGAATGGGTGCTTGATATGCCCTTCAATGAGTTTTGAAACGTTTCGAGAGTAGGGGGTGAGGGCTTACTGGTGACATGGGCACACGCTCTGTGTTTTACGGTACTTTCTAGCCACCGTAATATCCCGAGAAATGGCCCACCCTCAAAAGGTAGGCCGCCCCGATTTTAGGCATGCTTTTCTGTTCATGCAAAAACACCAAGAGATAGCACATTCCTCGAAATGGCACCAGCCGGGTAACCTCTGCTGTAACAAAGCAAATTTTATCGCCACTGTCGTCTTGATATGTTTGCTGCATTCATCGGGACCCACGTTGGCACTATTTGGAACTGCTTGAAGAGAATGTTTGGCCAACCAAGATCGCTTCAGTACTAGGCCTATCCACGGGAAGCACTCGCATCCAACGGGCGCAAAAAGATTCACAGCCCTGCTGCGGGTACCAACCCTCTACGGAAAATAGTGCTCCAGTTTTAAACTGTACCCCTTTCGTGTTACCTTTTCAACCTTATTTGATCTCATTGGAAGTCTCCACTCGCAATGCCGTTCTCGCCGTTACCGGTCGCCCTATGCATCCCCTTTCAACCGACGTGTTGGAATCGTGGTACAGAACCTCAAAAAGCCGGGAAATGTTGGAATTTAATCGCGGTATGTGCTTCATCCCCATGTTGCACCCACGCAATTTCATTCCATCGAAACGGCATACAAGGGGCACTCAAGTTTTACGAGTTATTGTTAACGACACCAAGCTGGGACAGCTTCGGCGCTCTGCTGGGTGTGCCCTCGCCTTTCTTTGCATACACGCACAAAGCTATTTCGTACACTTGCATTTGAGTGTACAGAGCGTGTGCTCCTTTGCGTTCGCTAACAATGAGAGGATACGCTGGCAGCATCTATCGGGTCGCCCCGCAACTGCGTACGACTGAACTGTAGGTTTTGCAGTACCTGCGAGATCAACTATGTGTAAACCGGTCTTTCTTTTCCCTCCACAGGCTATCCTGGAACTCTTGTCGGAGCTGAGGCATCCGCAGCAGCCCTCGGCCGACGCCACACGGTCAGACGTCGATGCGACCACCCTGTACGAGCGGACCCTGTCGTTGGCTCTGCAGTCGGACGACGAGCTGTTCCACTCGGCGCTGTACAACTGGCTGTGTGACAGCCACCAGACAGACATGCTGCTGGACATCCGCAGCCCGTTCCTCGAGGGCTACCTCCAACGGCGCGCCGCGGCCCATCCGGACGCCGTGACGGGGGCGGATCTTCTGCGGAAGTACCACGAGCGCTCGGGCAATTTCACGGCAGCCGCGCGCATCTCGGCCAAGCTCGCAGATCGCCACGGTCCGGACCTGTCCCTTCTTCAGCGGCTGGAGTACCTCTCCAGGGCCATCGTCTGCATGAAGAGCTCGGAGCCACGCTCGTCCGGTGGGGCGCGGGAGGGTGACTTCTTGCACCAGCTGGAAGAGAAGCTGGACATCGCGAGGCTACAGGTCAGTGTTGCCGCGCCGCGATGTCTGTTTTAGAGACTGGTTCGTGCACTTGCGTTTGGTTGTGTTAGACTGCGATACGACCCCTCGCTGTTGAAACATCTTATTTTCCTAAAAACTAAGATGAGCCGCAGTGTCGCTCTGCTCTAGTCATCTGAAGTGGTGGCTTAGGGAGAGGGAGATGGGGCACAAAGTGACAGAGAGAAAGATGTAAAGAAAAGAGAGTTATATGTGCGAGCGAAGCATCGCCACCCTCACGAAAGCAAGTGGCGAGTCGAAAATATGTCTGCAGTGATCCGGTGGCTCTGTGGGGTGAGAGCCTGTCCAGTCTGCATAACCCGTAAGCCAGTAGCTCGATAGAATCGGATATAGGTGATTCGGTCCTGTGTATGGACTGCTTAAAGTGCTTAGGGCAGTCCCAGGTGATAATAGGGCACGTCGCCGGCATCCTGCACTGGGGGCGGAGAATGCACCAGCTATCTGGTTTCCCTGGAAGACTTCGAATATGCGCATATATTTCCTCATTTTTTTACATGTTATTCGTTAGCTGTGGGCTTGAAATAATTCTGAAAATGTTATAAGTAGGATTTCATGTTTCCCGAGTTTGTTGTCCTTAAGGAACCTTGACTAGCTAAAAGGCAATCCTTTAGTAGAATGGACATTTGGGCAAGTTGGTACGAGTTCATCGTAAAAAACGGTGCAAAAGGGACAAGGACAAAAAGGAAGGACTACGCAGTGCTTTTCCTGTTTAGCCCTTCCTTTTTGTCCTTGTTCCTTTTGTGCTGTCCTTCACGATGAAGGCAAACCACTTTTGTCAGTAGTTCAAGATTTCAAAGGAAACTGAAGTTCCATTTCCTCGGGATCACTGACCTTGTACTCTTATGAAGCTTATTTGTAAAACACCGTCTTTTTTGCTTTTTTTGTTTTGTCGTTGCGATCTTCAAGTTACGAGTTTTCCAGGTTTTTTCTGATTTATCGGGAAACACAAAGCCCTAGTTATCAGCCACCATTTCTCAAGCATTGTGTGTACATTTGATCTCACAAATACAGTAAAACCTCGTTATAACAAAATGGGATATAACAAACTAATGGATATAACAAAGCAATCATAATTCCCCTTGCTTACTAATAGTGGGAAGAAATGGACATTGGCTAATGGCGACGTGCGCGACCGAAAGCGTCGCTGTGGTCGGCCTTTCACGATTGGCCCAAAAGCTGACTATGACGTCGGAAAGGGTATACCATCGACGCAAATAAGAAGAATGAAGGAACATTAATTTCGACGGTGTTGGCAGTGTTCCTTTGAGAGCGCAATGATTTCAAGCTCCCACCATGCTATTTTCAAACACCATCGAACTTGTTGTTCGCAAGGTAATGACGTCACAAGGGGGAACCATAGGAGGGCGCCACCAAAACATCTCGCCGCTAATAACAAACTAATGGTTATAACGAAATAATTACGACCGCTCCTTCAACTTTGTTATAACGAGGTTTTACTGTATTGCAAAAGCGTTCTGTCTAGTTCAGGACTAAAAGTTCTGAACTAGACTGAAAGTAGCACTTGAACGCCAGCATTCAAAAGAGTACTTGCTTACTGGTGCCAGCTCGTTTCAACTGCACTCACCACGTTGCAGTGGAACGCAAGGAGTCATTGCGTTTGCGGTCATATGCAAGTGTGTGGACCGTGCAAAGGACACATGCAAAGGAAAAAACATTTTTTTTTTAAACAGCTTAGATGGAAAAAGGACGTCACAAAACGATTTTACAACGAAGAAAAAAAAATTTTTAGAGCTATATTTACGGCGCTATACGAATTTGTAGTTGGCGCCCGCGGGTGTTGCGGAAAAGTGGCCCTTATTTATTACGTGACTGGCCCTTATTTATCACGCGGTGCTTGACCTCTTTCGGAAGCTTCCTATGGCCTCTAAAAGTAACTCATTCATCTTTGTCTGAAGTATAACAAAAAACTAAAATTAATAAGTAACTTTTAGAGCCCAAAAGAAGCTCCTGAAAAAGCGCAAGCAGACGTGATAGACCTGTGCGCCGGTCAGGTGACGGCGGCGGCGCCCTGAAGCAGACAAACTTGTGCGGCAGCGGCGACGGCGGCGTGGAGAAACACATTGAAGCGGCGTTGCGCAACGCTCGGCGTGCGGCAGCGGCGTGACTTTGCGGCGGCGGCAGCGGCTCCCGCGGGCGCCAACTACAAATTTGTTTTGCGCCGTAAATATAGCTCTAATTTTTTTTCTCTTCATTGTAAATTTGTCTTATAATGTTGTTTTTTTTCCATCTAGCCTGTTTAAAAAAAAAAGTTTTTTCCTTTGCACGTGTCCTTTAACATAGAACGTGTTTGTGCACTGCTTTTCCACAAGAAACCGTTGGGCCTGGCTGTAACCCTCGATCGTCACACATAGGTTAGAGTAATACAAAGCATATACGCCTGTGTTAAACAGCAATGCAAGAATACTCCCGACGGAGATTGAACTTGAGACATAGCGATCCCCAGCCATATGCTGCACCGACTGAGCTAAGCGGAGCTGGTGTGTGGGAAAAGCTAACGGTTGGTTCATGAAGTCAAAAATAAACTCTAGTTTGATCATGCCTACAAAGAATGGGGGCACAGAATTTCTTGAGCTACCATGCACCCGAAGTGCATGGTTGCTCTAGCTTTGCACAAATTGCCCCCCCCCCCCCCCCCCCCCCCCCCCATCGCAGACAGACTGCAAATGCAACCCACACTTTGTGCATATGGTAGCTCCTCACATTCTGTGTGCCCTGCTCTCTGTCAGCATGATTACGCTAGTGTACATTTTGTTACGATGGAACATATAAACCCGGCGTTCAATTATTTTGTGCTAAGCCGTCGAGGCCGGCGTAGCTTACGCACCGCACCAACTTTGTTAATTGAAAGCTAGTTGCGCAAGTGCGTGCCAAGGAGACTCACTGCAGCGCTGCGGACACCATGCTAGCCTAGATGTCGTAGCGCAAAATAGTATACGCCGAGTATAGTCGGGAAAACATAATTTTGAACATAAGTATTATTGCAGTCCTTATATAACTTACTGGTTGTCATACGAGCTCGCTTTGGAGAAGTGGCTCCCATCCATACTTCAGCACGGAGCCCGGAGAGTCGCCACTCCCGTTGCAGTGGCCACCTATGCATAATGCAGCAAAATACAACAGAAAACGAAAATCTTACCTGTGAATACAAAACAAACTTACCTGACCCCCTTGTCTCAAAACAAGTTTATGCATCCTGAGCTACCCAACAAACTGCAAACAAGGCCCAAGGGGGGGGGGGGGGTGCTGTGATGGAATTCCGAGTAGCAGTGGCTCAGTTCCTGTGGACGCGAAGGGTCCGCCTTCAAAGAGCGAGTTTTCCAACTCGCTCGTTTTGCTAGCCTGGAGCACGTGTTCCACTGGTGCGTTCACCATCCTGTCCCCCCTATGCATTGAAACGGGTTCCAAAGTTAACAAATTGCGTCACAAGGACCAGCGTGTCATGTTGTCAAGTGCCACAATCGTAGCGATTGGTCGTAGAAATGCCGGTGAAAAAGGCGAGTAGACGCAAGTGTCGCTGTCGTTGTGGCATCCTTCCTCGTATCTTTTTCGGTTTCCGTCGACCGTCTGGCTACAGAGTGGCCTACAGCAGAGCAGTGGTCTGCTGCGCCCATGCCACCGCCAGGATTATGACAAAAAATATGACGCATTCTACAACATTATTGGGCAAAAATCGAGGAACCACTTTTCAAGACGTGAACAGCAGTCTGAGACGCACTCCAGACACCGTAGTAATGTTGCTTGTGGCTATGCTTTTTCCCACAAGTCTGGAAGTTTCTCACAATTTGGCAACTTTGCTCCAGGTGAGGGTCCAGGAGGCCCTCAAGCGCCGCAGCGACCTCCCGGGGGCCGGCGAGTCCGCGGCGCGTCTGGACACAGAGCTGTTCGACGTGACGCGGCTGTATGGAGACTTCGCCGAGCCGTTCGACCTCGCGGAGTGCAAGCTGGCCATCGTGCGGACGTCGGGCTACGACAACCCAATGCTCGTGGAGAACCTCTGGCGCAGCGTCCTGGAGAGGGAGTTCCGAGAGAGCGGCGGGCGGGTGGCCCCGCTGTCCAGGAGGCTGACGGAGCTGGCGCGCGAGTACGCCACCGCGGAGAAGTTCTTTCCACTGCCGTTTGTGGTCAAGTTCCTGGAGCTGCGCGGATGTCACACCGACCTAAACCCGGGGTGGCCACTAGAGCCGCTTCTGGAAGCCGGCGTCTCGTTGGGAAGGCTGCGAGACGCATACCACGGGCTGTACCGCGGCAAGGACCCGGACTGGTTCGGCAGGCCGCTGCATCTTCTCAAAGCGATCGCGTATCTCGTCCGCGTACTACTCGAGCGGAGGTTGAGGCACATAGACGGCGGGCCAGAGGAACTGAGGCGCCTCGCAAATAGGTGCCTCGACGACATCGCGGGGTACGTGGTAGACCTGCAGTCTATGGGCAGGGACGCCGAGGTGGTCGCATTAATGGACACTTTCAAGGGACTGCAGGCAAGCCTAGAGCAGTTCTTGACTGGGTGAAGCTCCGCGAGTCACGTTTGGGGCATCTTTGGTGGCCTGTTATCTCGTTACATCTTTTTTTCTCAATTCGTCTATATAGCATTTTATTTTCGTTTTTAGTTGTTGCGGACGACCGAAGGTGGAAGTGTGTTCCGAGTTGCGATTGTGGATTAATAAATGCATTGTGACTGATTGTATACATACGTATTCACACAAGTTTGTCCTCCATGTTGATTTTATTTTTCCCATAGTGTTCTAGATTTCAGTTCACATTGGCGAGGTAAGATAACGGTACTGCTGGGTCCTAGAAAAAACAAATATGCATTCATTTTTCATTATTGGGATGCAACCAATAGCCTATCATCGGTGACAGGTTAAGAATTCAGTGGAAGCTCTAGCGCAAGCTTTCTTCGATGCTTCGGCATCTTGTGAGCATGCACAGCCAAGCACGGCATAAAGCAATGAGTGTGTGCCGAGGACATGGCTTTTACTGCATTCTTGAGCGGTCTCTCACCATAGGAGGTACTCATTTTTCATTGTCACAAACTGTGGGTAAAGTAATTTATTGTCAGCCATAAACAACAGTTTTGTGAGTGCGATAGGGATCTAGAAAAATGCTCGCTGTCATTGAACTTTTAACTTCAGGGTGCACAGCTATGGCCGCAAGTGAATGCTCTCTATATGCCGTGCAAGTTGCACTCCTTGCGCACCTCGTGCGTTTGTTTACCCTCAAATAAGCCCCCATGCTTTTCTTTCCCCCCCAATCTCGACCAATGGCAGTGCGCACCTGGCTGCCTCGTCATCGCTCGCTCCCTGCACGTTTCTACAATGGCCTTTAGTTGGCATGCCCCGCTTGGGTTCCGACGCATCATAGACGCAATTTGAAACACTTGCTCGACGTATGTACACTGTTGCAACGTTTTCTGAATCGCAGCCCAGCCTGTTCACGTTTGTCGCTTCGAAAAGTGAGCAGAGTGCGCCATACGTACGAACGCCGAAAATGGCACCGGCCAGAAGCCCATTAGCTAGTCCAAGAATATATAGACGTAGCTAGAAAGAACTACAGGGTGTTTCCAAGCAATGTCCGGGTGTGAAAATATTCGTATAAATAAACCAATGAACAGAACGCATCCAAAATTTTCAGAAAGGTGTCTTTATTTTGGGTGTTCATCTCGAAGGAACTTTCGTGTTGTTGGTTTGTGTTGTGCCACCCGTGAGCAGCCGCATCCACCGGACGGTTTTGCCGTGTTCCTGTCCACTGGAAAAAGCAAAATTCTCTTAGACTTTTATGTTTTTGTTTCTTGATACCTATATTGAAAAGATTAAAACAGCGCAAAAAGACAACGGACTGGATGACGGAGGACACAAACAGTGTCTGGTGTCCTCCTTCATCGAGTCTGTCATCTTTTTGTGCTGTTTTAATCTTTTAAGTATGTCGTACCAACTCACCCCAAGCTTCAACTTTGATACCTATAAGACTCATGAAATTTGAGTGTGATGAATGCACCACCTAGAGACACCGTTGCGAAAAGTTTATTTGCTCACAGTTCATTAGTGTATTTATATGAAGTTGAATGTGCTAGACTTTCCCCACAGCTGTAGTCTTTCTTTCTGTTTGCGCTCTATTCGCCAATACCTTCCTCGGCCAGCACACTAGCTGCCAGGCCCAATCGAGAATAGTAACCTCGGTTTATTGCAAAAAGATGAAACTGTGACGTTACAACGTTACTCTTTCGGTGGTGACAGAATGTGAAAGTTTGGCTACAGGCCCGTCTCCTGGGTTAATTTCTCTATAAGCCGATGTCAACCTAAGCCACATTTTCATGAAACCAAAAAATGACATTGTGGATGCCTGTAGCATTTACTTCAGTAAAAAAAAAAAAAAAAAAAATCTTTAGCAAGAAAGGTGTTTTTTTTTTCACTGACAAGCTTTTTCTTCTGCAGGTGACTGCAATGGCATTTCTTTTTATGTCATGGATATTTGGTTTAGGAGGACGTAGATGGTAGAGAAATTTTTTCTCTTATCGTGGGATCCAATTAACGTCACATTCTCAAAGTTTTGCATTGTTTCACCACTGCTAGTGTCACATTTTTGCGGAGTTGCGACTTTCTTGCGATGCATAGTCCATTTATGTGGGCGTACTTTATGATTTTTCTTTTTTTTTGTATTTGAAAATTAAAATGGCGCAAGAAACGAAAGACCAGATGGAGAAAGACACAGCGCCGTGTCCGTCTCTTTTTTCATTTGGTCCGTCGTCTTTTGCGCTGTCTTAATTTTCAGATATGGTCATGCCAACTCGTCCAAGCTTTTCTATTTCAGCATCGTCCTTTCTAGTTTTTGAAAGAAACTCGTATGTCACAAATTGAATTGCCTCCGAGCCGACAGCAACTGCACACGCCCCCCTGAACCAGTCAGATCTTGCTACAGTGACCTTCACAACCGAGGCGTTGCAGACAGCACTGTCCAAAATCACAAACTCCCGTAGTCCCGGGCCGGATGGCATTGCGCCTATATGGTTCAAGGTGCTATCATCCCATGTGCTGCCATCCACCGCCAGAGTGATGCAGGGCCTTTTCGATAGCGGTATTGTACCAGAGGACTGGTGCTGAGCTCTGGTTACCCCTCTGCAGAAAGGGAAAGGGAAGCCACTGGTTGAGCCTAGACATTACCGCCCAGTTTCCATCACGTCGATTACGTCCCGCACATTCGAACGGGTGATCAACGGTCGGCTTCTCGACTTCCTGGAAAGGTCAAACTGCCTTACCAACTCTCAGCACGGCTTCCGCCCCAACCGTAGTTGCGAGACTGCTCTCGCCACAGTGACACATTTCATGAGTAACCAAATGGACAATAGTATTTCTACGGACCTCATTCAAGTTGACTCGAGCAATGTGTTCGATACGCTTGACATCAAGCTTCTTACGCGGAAGCTCGCTCAAACAGGCATTCATGGTCCGCTTCTAGCATGGCTCACAGGGTTCCTCCACGGCCGCAGCCAGCGAGTTGTATACAAAGGTTCACGTTCTGCAGGATGCCCCGTTTTGTAGGGGGTTCCCCAGGGATCGGTACTTGGTCCCACCCTGTTTCTGTTTTACGTCAATGATATGCCTCGGAACGACAAGTGCCTCCTCGTACAGCATGTTGACGACACGTCCATCATGGTACCCATTTCGTCGCCCGCGGACTCCCGAAATTTTCAAGGCTACTTGTCTGAAATAGAAAAGTGGACACTGATGCAGCGTCTTCAGATAAGTGCGAGTAAAAGCAGCGTGATCCGTTTTTCAAGCAGCAGAAAGAATGGCACCCCCGTTTACACTGTATCCAGCTCTTCATCTCGGGCATTACATTCTCAAGGAATCTGGACTTTCCGGCCCATATTGCGGGTGTTGTCTCCAAGGCAAGGCGGACACTGGGCTTCATATCGCGGGTGACGAGGCCGTGTGGAGCAGGAGCTCTGCGCGCGCTCTACACGGCACTCGTACTTCCCACTATGGAGTGCTGCTCGGCCATCTGGTCCCCGTCCCAGCGGCACCTCAGGGAACGACTCGAAAGTGTGCAACGCCGTGCGGCGCGGGCCATCTGCGGCCGGTCGCTAGGCACAGTGTAGAGCCCATACGGTGCACGTCTGGGTTTCCTTGGTTGGAGACCCCTTAGCGAGAGGCGACAGACCGCACGGTTACGTGCACTGTGCCGAGTGCCCGACGGATCGCTTTCCGGGACTCCGTCGTTCTCCGCGGTGCGGGTAAACAAAAGAACTGGGCAGCCTGAGCCTCTCCGCGGCAGGACCACCAGCCACCGTAACCCCTGCTCCCAGCGGACTTCAGAGATCTCTGACCATCCCGCAATCCGCTCGTAGCCCTCTATCTTCATGAAGTGATGAGTCCACGGAGCTGTGCAAGCTCTTCTGTCGCCGAGTGGCTCCAAGCTCCTGATGATGAACAGTGACTTTTACTATTATCTTTCTGTGGATGTGTGTGCTTGTTTTGTATGTTTGTACGTGGGAACGCGGCGGCCGGCTAGGAGGCGCATATGCGTAAGGGTTATTCACCTTTCTGCGTGGCCTCGCACGCTGCCGCGTACAATTAAGTCAACTCATTGTGCAAATAAATTACAATAACAATTTTCACCTCAATATTTAAGTCGGCTTCCATCGTTGGTTTTATCTCAACTGGAAACGCCTTTCGCGTCGTAAAAGTTTAGGGCGGAAAGGTAGAGGGGGTGATTTATTTGACCCCTACTTCTTTCTTCAAATAAATAAATAAATAACGGGTCCTACCAGGCGCCGCAAGACTCATTTCGAAGCAGGGGCAAAACCGAAACTAACTTCCGTTCTACAGTTTATCAAATGTTTTAAAGCATTTCTTTATCTTGACGTACGTTTTCTTTATTTGAGCATTTAGAAATTAGTTGCAAGCTGAATTAAGCGTTACTTTACATTTTTTAACTGAGCTATAATATGGGTAAAATAGTTTCGTTAGGTTTGGCGAAGTTTCGGTTATGATTTGAAGAGTCGCGACACCTGCCGACAGGCCCGTGCACCACAAAATGCAGACTGTAAAAAAGCCTACAAAAAACAAGTTGTCCCTCGCAAGTTGTGCTGCACTGCAATGGCGGTGCGTCATGCGTCGGTGTTGAGTGACTGTTCGGAGTTTGGGCCGTGGTCAGAGCCTTTCCGGCGCCCTTATCCGGGCCATAACTCCCCGCAGAGTGGACGGTAGCGTCGGTCAAGCCTTCGGTTCGAGCATGGCCGGTTTCGTCGGGTTTCACACACGGGAAGCCGTTCGAGTCAAAGTAAAGGTCAGTGCCGTCTGCTCTTTCTTTTTTAACCGCAGACGTTCTGCCCGAATTCACGTCGCGGCGCCGCTTTTCACGGCATGCCCAATGGGAAACGGAAGCAGACAACGCGGCTGCGTCGTTGCGTCGCCGGTTTCTCTCTTTTTTTCTTTTTTCTTTTTTTTTTTAGTCGACGACGTGTAGTACAGAAAGGTGCCAACAAATCTCGACGCCGAATTCATGTGTGAACTCATTCCGTCCGCCACGATCTACGCTCCTTTAAATACAAGGGCCTCTAGTCTTTCTCCTAACCGCTAACGAAATCGTAGCTTGCATAACCTCACTCGCTTAACTTAGAGCAACTGCCTTGGATGACTCTTAGTCGTCCTACATTTCGTACTGTGTGACCCGCCTGATTTATTGATTAGTACACTGTATTTAC